TCATGTCTCAGGTGCCTATCTTTTAATCAAACTCCATTGAGGATTATTTGGGATATCATAAGCTATCTCTTAATCACAGGAGTTTTACCTTGGCTTTATCCACTGTTTTGAGCCTAAAGATTACACTGAGGTTTCGCAATATCCAGATTGGATTGCTGCTATGGATACTGAATATGATGCATTGGTGTCTAATAATACTTGGGATGTCACTGAACTCCCTGCTCATAAAACTCCAGTTGCCTACAAATGGGTTTTTAAGGTTAAGATGAAGTCTGATGGGACAGAAGATAGGAAGAAGGCACGTTTGGTGGCAAGGGGGTTTACTCAACAGGCTGGGTTCGACTATGAAGAAACATTTCCAACTGTTGCAAAGCTTGTTACTGTCAAGACTTTTTTGGCAGTGGCAGCCTCCAGAAATTGGCATCTTCATCAGCTAGACATCAATAATGCTTTTTTACATAGCGAATTGAATGAGGAGGTTTATATGCTTATGCCTACTGGGTATGAGCAGCAGGGGGAGCAAGGAAAGCAATTAGTATGCAAACTAAACAAATCTATTTATGGATTGAAACAAGCCTCAAGTCAGTGGAATATGGACCTGGCATCTTATATTTTATTACAGGGATTCAGGCAATCTAAGTTTGATCATTCTTTGTTCAATAAAATCAATGGCTGTTTATTTACTATACTTCTGATCTATGTTGATGATATCATAATTGGAGGCAATGATTTATCTTGTATCAAACATTTCAAGGATGAGCTGAATGGAAAATTTAAACTGAAAGATCTAGGAGTCTTGAAATACTTTCTGGGACTTGAAGTTTCAAAAAGTGCCACAGGAATAACCATCTGTCAGAGAAAGTATGCCTTTGATGTGTTAACGGATGCTGGCTACCTTGGGGCAAGGCCATCAAATAGTCATTTTCCTTGCAATTTGAAATTAAGGAAGGATGAAGGTGAACTCATTATTGATCCTAGCTCTTACAGAAGACTTGTTGGAAGGATTCTATACCTCACCATAACCAGGCCAGATTTGTCTTATGCTATTCAAGTTTTGAGTCAATTTCTTCAATCACCTAAGCAGCCACATCTAGAGACAGCTCACCGTGTTTTAAGGTATCTGAAAAGCACACTAGGGCAGGGCCTATTTTTTCCCAGTAACTCAGATCTTCAATTGAAAGGATATTGTGATGCTGACTGGCAGCTTGTTCTGATAGCAGGAGGTCCAATACGGGCTATTGCATATTATTGGGAGATTCTTTAGTGTCTTGGAGGTCTAAAAGGCAGTACACCATCTCCAAGTCTTCTGTTGAAGCAGAGTATAGATCTATGGCTACTGCAGTCTATGAGTTCATATGGCTGAAAAACATATTGAATGACTTGAATGTAATTCATACCAAGCCAGCTTTGCTATTATGTGATAATCAAGTCGCCATACACATTGCAAGCAACCCTGTTTTTCATGAAATGACCAAACATATTGAAATTGATTGTCACTTGGTGAGGGATAAGGTGCAAGCTAATGAAGTGAAGATGTTGCACACCAATTCTTTAAATCAGCTGGCGGATCTGCTTATCAAACCTTTGGCTGGGAATCGTTTTTCTTTATTACTTGGCAAGATGGGAGTGCTTAATATACACTTGCCATCTTGAGGGGGAGTGTTGAAATGTAAAATAGTATAAAGGGTATTTATGTCTTTTACCTATTTCCAATTAGTTATGTTAGTAAATGGCTGTATAAATTGGGGCCGAATTCTGTCTGTGGCTTGCTGAATTCATTTTTCAATCAATTGGAAATTCTTTTCC